AAGAATGATAAAATAATGCAATTTGCTACAATATGGTGGAAATGGAAGATATGATGAGCGAAGTTAGCCAGAAGAATGACAAAACACAGGATGATCTCACTTATCTCTGAAATATAGTACTGGATGAGAAAATGTAGTTAAAGGGGGATGTTTATATCACTCTTGACCCCAGTGTTTAGAAAGGAGATGGACAGAGAAGGAAATAAACCAAGTGGGAAAGAAGAGAACAAGAAGTAATGGAGTAACAGGCATCAGAGCTTCAGTTATACCCGTGATATGAGTTAGGGGTATAGTCATATATCCAAAACATAGATTCAACAGAACTAAAAACATGAGATCTAAGAAGCAACCATGGAAACTTGTAAGTTGCCTGTCAAGTTGAAAGGTGCAGGCGGAGTTGGAGTTGGTTTACGGAACGAATCTGGGAACACTGGTGGAGGGAAGTTGACATGGTGGAGGGATTGGAGTTGAATAATTGTATGCCTAAAACACAACTACCAGTAACTTTGTAATGGCCTATCTCATGGTGATTCAACTAAAAAAATTAAGAAAAAATTTCTATTGTAGCGAAAGGATATTTAATTTTGTCAAAGGCTTTCTCTGCATCAATTGATATGATATGATTTTTACCTTTCCTTTTATTAATGTGGTATATCTATTAATTATTTGCATATGTTGAAGCATCCTTGCATCCCCGGAATGAATCTCACTTGATCAGGGTGTATATTTTTTGTGATACATTGCTGAATTTGGTTAGCTAAGATTTTGTTACGGATTTTTGCATTGATATTCATCAGGGAGATTGGTCTGAAATTTTCTTTTCTGGAAGTGTTTCTGTCTGCTTTAGGTATTCGTGTAATGTTAATTTCATAGAAGGTGTTAGGAAGAATTCCTGTATTTTTAATACTTTGGAAGAGCTTAAGGAGTATAGATATTAAATCTTTGAAGGTTTGATAGAACTCACCAGTGAACCCATCTAGACTGGGATTTTTGCTCTTGGGAAGATTCTTAATCTCTGTTTCAATTTCCTTACTTGCAATTGGTCTGTTTAAACTTTCTATTTCCTCCTCATTCAGCTTTGGGAGTTTACATGACCTAAGAATCTTACTTATAGGTTCTCCAGGTTTAAGATCATAAAGTTGCTCTTAGTAACCTCTAATTACATTTTGAATTTTGGAGAAATCTGTTGTAATTTTCCCCCTTTCATCTCTTATCCAATTTATTTGAATATTTTCTGTTTTTCCTCGTGAGTACAGCTAAATTTCTTTATTTTAATAACTGCTCCTGAGTTCATTAATTCTTTGAATTGCTTTCTTGACTCTATATTGTTATGTCCTATAAATAAGTGCTATTTTAACAAAATATTTTCCATAACTCAAAATTTTACTTTTAAAATACTGCTTACTTTGCTATCAAATTGATGGAATAAAAACACATTTTCCAGGGTCAGGGCAATAGTACAGTGGGTAGAGGATTTGCCTAGTATGCAGCCGACCCAGGTCTGATCTCCACCATCCCATATGGTCCCCTGAGCGCTGCCAAGAGTAATTCCCTGAGTTCTGAGCCAAGAGTAACCCCTGAACATCACTGGGTGTGACCCAAAGGGACCAAAAAAAAAAAAAGAAAAGAAAACCCCCAGTTTCCTTTATAACTGCTTTACTTTCATTTCCTTTCATATATAATCTTTTGTTTTTCTTAAGACAACATGTTATTTACCTAAAAATTTAGAACTTTATTACTTCATTATTTTGCCCTTAATTAATACAAAGTTATTCAAGATTTGTACTCTCAATTTCATGGTCTTAATACAAATCACTGTTTTTTCCTGTACTATTTTCACATTATTTTAATTTTTATTCCTTTATTTTTTAACTAAATTATTTTTTCGGTGTAATTTTCATAGAATGAATCTGTTACAAATGGGAGACTGGTGTTTTTTGGGGGGGTATACAGATTTATTCTATTACTGAATACTACTTTAATTGTTGGCATTGACTCTACTTTTGTTATCTTGTTATTATTTCTATTTTTTCTATTTCTTTGTGTATTTTTTTACATAAAGATCTGAATACTTACTTCTCTCTGTAATATTTTCTATATCTTTTAATCTGTCAACAGGCATTTATGTTGTTTCCATATCTTTTAGAGAAATCTTTTAGAGAATTTTTTTCTAATTCTTTTTGATTTATACCCAGAGGTGGTCTTGTTAAATTTGTAGTCATTTAGTTTTATTAATGTCTGCTTCCTCTTAGTTTGTTTTTTGTTTGTAGTTTCTTACTCTTGCTCAATCAGTCAAATGTTCTTCTGCCAATTTTTGATAGCTTTTAAAAATTTCTTTTATGAAAACATTATACTATGCAATGTGCTTTTTTTCTTTCAAAATAAAGTTTTGCTTTTTTTATCCTCTTGTAGAGCTCCAGGGACCCTTTCTATCCATTCCTTATAGACCCTGCCTATCTCATGCCTGAATAATCAGGTCCCACTCATCCTCCAACATCCCTGAAAAACAGTCATCTTCAAAAATGCCTTGGAGACCCTTGAGGCTTACACATGATCTATGGGTTGGGTGGAAGGCTGTGCGTCCTCCTTCCTCAGATATTCAAGACAAGAAATTGTCAGAAACTATTTTGATCCTTTTCACAATCCTCCAGAAATGCCATGGATCTCAGAGTTCCTGCCACTGTCCCCATCTGTGGGGATTACTATATGTTGAAAGACACCAAACAACTGAGCCACAGACCTCTCTTTCCTACCAAACTACATACTAAGAGCATAAGTTACTATTTCTGAATGTGTTTACATAATGCCAGAGGTGGACTGGTTGTAGTGTAGGACAAAATGAACAAGCAATCTGGAATTTTCTCTAGCTACCTATGAAGACTGTTTCAGCACAGTGATGGTATTCTAAACTCTGTTACCACTTGGCTCATGTTCTTTTCTGATTAGAGGGTTGATTCTGTTGGATGTTAGACATCTGTCCAAGATGTCTTTCTAGTGCTATTCCCACAATCAGTGGACTTTAATAATGAGTATTCTCTTGTGTTGCTCGGTGCTTGTATTTTTTTTGTGTGTGTAGTGACACTTCCTGCAGCACTAAGAACAGAGGATATGACTATTCTGCCATACTACCATGGTATCCCATATTAACTTTTTTCTACTTTACATTTATTTGCTCATAAAATAATGAAGAATGCAAACTTATTTTTTCAGTCATATGATAAGCAAAGTAAGGCTCAGAGAGGTGAAACACATGTTTAGAATTAGATGGGTCAGTCCTCCATGCATGTCCTCTTATGTTTTTCCTTCTATCCTGCAGCCAATGGACTGTGATGAAACAGTCATTTTTAAGTCTACTGTCCCCTCATCATTCCAGTATACAGCAAACAGCAGAAATTTTGGCTGCCAACTGTAAATCTCAGTATACATTCAGTTAAATGGAAAATAAAGAGACCATTATAAATGTTTTCGTGGTAGTTACACAGCTAGTCTGTATCATAACTCAAAGCAGAACTCAAGTCTTCTCATCACATTCATACTTTCTTGTATAACATCTCATTTAAAAATCATGAGAGAAAAATTCTTGCCAGAAATTCTACAACAAGAGCTTCAAAATGGCTAAAGCTCATGAAAACTCATGATGAAGCAAGAGGTTTGATCAGAGTGCATCATTCACATAAGCACTACCTTTCTGACCATAGATTCAGAGTTACCTTGGCTTCTTGGTGAAGCAATGAATGCTTCTAAGGCATTGCTGGGAAGGGCTAGTTTCGGTTAGATTCACACAAAGATCAAATCCAAGACAGTAACATTACACAGGACCAACGTGTTCCATCCCTATTTGTCAGACTGTTTTAAAGTAAAGTCATACATGGACAGTATCATGCTAAGTGGAATGAGTCAGAAAGAGAGAGACAGATATAGTAGGACTGCACTCATTTGTGGAGTATAAAACAATATAACATGAGGTTTACACCTAAGGATAGTAGATACATGGGACAGGAAAACGCCTCCATAGCTGGAAGACTGCCTCATGAGCAAAGGGGAGAAGGCAGCTGGAATAGAGAAGGGATCTCTAAGAAAATGATAGCTTGAGGAACTGGTTGGGATGGGAAATGTGTGCTGAAAGTAGATAATGGAACAAACATGATAACCTCTAAGTATCTGCATTGCAAACCATAATGCCCAAAAATAGAGAAAGAGTATGGGGAATACTGTCTGCCATGGAGGAAGGGGGAGGATGGGAAAGGGAGGGTATACTGGAGATATTGGTGGTGGGGAATGTGCACTGGTGGAGGGATGGGTGTTTGATCATTGTGTGATTGTAACCCAAACATGAAAGCTTATAACTATCTCACAGTGATTCAGTAAAATTTTTTTAAAAATTGAAAAAAAATAAAGTGAAGTCATATTAGAAAAACCATAACAACCAATTTTATAATGTTATTCTCATTTAACTTAAAATTTCACCCCTTGAAAGTTTGTTGTCTTAGGAGTCAAAACAATTGCAAAAATCATTGAATAGTATCTGGTGTCAAGTACAAATCTAAATTTTTTTTGAAGGGGCACATCTGGTAGTGCTCAGGGTTTACTCCTGGCTTTGTACTCAGGGTCTCTCTCTTGATGGTGCTTGGGGAACCATATATATGCTACAGATGAAGCCAGGATTGGCCTCAGGCAAGGTAAGTGCCCTAACCTTTATACTAACTCTCCAGTCCCAAATCTAAATTTTAAAAGTTCTCAATTGGGTTATCACTCAAGAATATGTAAAAAAGATCAAAATTTATGCTTATAATTGGCATCAGTGATCAGAAGACAGAGATGCAGCTAAACATCCTAAGATACGTAGGACTGAAATTCTGGTTCAGATAGTTACTGATTCCCTACACATGGTGGTTAATAGCAAATCCCTGATGCACAATTTTCTTCTGCCCATAAGCCTCCCTCCACACACTCTCTCAGAAATTTTCCTTAGGGTAAGAAAAGACCCACATAACACTCACCTTTCCCTGCTGGTCTGTTTTGATTTCCCAGCCCCGGGGCAATTCCAGTCTTGTATCTGCAAACATATTGATGAAATTCACCAAGTCCCGGTTGTGCTGGTAGCGTTCAAAATTGCGTGCGTCTCGCCGAACTTTTAGAACCATGTGCTTTAAGCAGGTGCTACTGGTGAAGACGCGGTAGGCACTCTGAGATCACATCAGAGCCGATTGAGGATGGAGGCAGGAAAACACAGGTCAAGTATACTTTGAACACGACACAATGTGATTGCTACCCAGCACTCTACTTTGAACCCTAAGATGGAGTCCTCAAAGCAGTGATATTGGTCAAGTTGTAAACATGTATGTGCACACACACTTATTCCCAATATTCTCTCCCAGAGGCTTGGCAGTGTTGGACACTGCTGCCCTCTTGGTGCATCTCAAAGGCTCCTCTCCCTCTGCAGGTATCATGCTCTCTGAATCTCTGGAAATTCTCTGAGGATCCCAGCTGTATTCTCTGCCCTTGATTGGCTTCTTTATTAATTTAGGCTTCTTGATGATGTCAGTTTGGACTTCAAGGGTTATTCCAGTAAATCATACATAATGACTTCTGAATGTAAAGCAGGCCATGTGACAACTTTAAGGTACCAAGGAAATGGGACTGGTACTAGTGCATATGTGGAGAACAGATAAGACTTCTTACAGCCAGAGCAGGCTAGCAGAGTGGCTCTTGCCTGCCCAGGACAGAGTGTATAATACCAGAGTCCATGTGCCTTAGAGACTTACCCTTGCACTACTTGGGCAACTACTACGCATTCAACCAACTGAATGTCCCATAGACTTCTTAAATAGACCTGGATGAATATAGCTCTCCTTTTCCACTGGTCAAAGTTCCATAATCTGATCAAACTGTTGTCCATAGAGTCAACATCTAATTCAGGGGCTCAAACAGAAAAGTTCCAAACTTCCTTGAGGCCTCATCTCCCATCTTCCTCCATCACAGTGGTTCCAAGCTCCCTGGATTCCACATAGCAACTACTGAACCACTCTTTTCCATGCTCTCAGTCACTTCCCAAGCCAGCCACAATAATTTCTCAGAAGGCTCTCCGTGTCTCTTTCATAATTTTGCCAAAGAAAATGTCCCATCAAATTCTTGGGTCACATAATCTAAACTCCTAAGAATGTTGCTTGTTCCTGCTATTTACTGGGTTCCTTTCTATGATTTTTCAGTTTTTTTTCTAGCTCTTCTTCACACCTCAGCCTGACACCACACTTCAGGTACCCCAGACTCAATCCCACACCCCTAAACGCTGTATCCTTTCTGCATCTGTCTAAAACGTCCTCCCTGACCATCTTCAAACATCAGGCATAAGTGATCAATCCTTCCCACAGGACTACTACCTAGTACTCTAGCCCATGTTCCAAAAGTCTTGTGTTTTCCCTGAAGTCAAACCCTGTCCTCCTTTAATTTATTTGTTCAGAACAAACATTTTCTTCGCTTCAGAAAGTGGACTAAATAATGAAAGAGTTAATGGAATTGTTAGATCATGTTACCACTTTCCTGAAAATACAGAGAGAGGAAGATATGTAACCTACATAAAAATCACAACAACTTAGATATGGCATCTAAAAATGAAGCATACTAAAATAAAATCTGGGTATTTATCTAAGATAAACCTATTTATTTAATAAGGTGATTTTATAACATGACTGATGCTATAGGGAATCTGTCTTGTTTCTTTAATAGAATAATAGAAATAATGATAATAATAATAGAAATAATAATAATAGAAAGGTGTATTTTTCTAAAACAGAACTTTCCTTGACAGTTAAATATTTGAGCCAAACAAAAACTTGAAGAGTTTCCAAACTTAACATTTCTAAATTCAGCTTCTAACTAGTCAGAAACTAAAATAATGTAATGAATTGTGTTGTGGTTTTTGTTTGTTTTGCTTGGGTTAAGTGCTATCACCTTTACCACAGAATTTCATAACATTACATTTGGGGTCTTAGCAGAAGGCAAGTGAGGTGTCCTTTGTGTTTTGGAGCACTCACATAATTGGCATGCAGGATAGTGAAGAACTCAGGGTTGGTGATAAACTTGACTGCTGGGGACTGCAGAAGCAAGGTGATTTTTTGTGAGTTCACTGGTGAAAGTGCACCTTCTCTCCTTAGATCTGGAAAAGTGAAGCAAGGAAGAAGAATGCTGGAAAAAAATCATTTCAAACAGAGTACTTTTGTCTATACCACAACTGCACACAAACCATCATCACAGGGCTGGAACGGAGAATTGTCTTTACAGGTCTTTTCAGAATCACAGTAATCTAGTCAGGTACCCCAGTTATCCAACTGGTGATCACAGTGATATCTACACATATCATAGTGACATAAGCAGATAACATAGTGGTCTGATGAGATGTCATATTGCTTTACCAAGTAAGAACCATTTAAGTCTTAATAATTAACAGTAGAGAATCATTCTTTGCCACTCAGGGATCATTCCTGGCAGGGCTCTGGGGACTCTATGATGTGCTGGGTATTAACCCTGGGTCAGCCATGAGCAAGGCAAGCACATATATTATACAAATAGTTAACATGAGCAGTTAAATTAGTTTAACAATAGTTTACTCACTAACAGTTTAGAATCATTTAACAGTTAAGAATCATTTAAGTTATTTAAAATAATTTTAATCAGTTAAGAATCATTTCTAGGGCAGAGAGAGAGAGTTCAGGGATTAAGGTGTTTACCTTGTACCCCATCAAACTTGGTTTGACTCCTTGGCACCATGTATGGCCCTCAGAGCACTTTGAGGGATCACTGCTGAGCAGAGATCCAAGAATAGCTAGCTCCTGTGCACTTCCCACAGTAATCCCCAAACAAAATTAAAGTCGTATTTCTTGGGAGGTGTATTTCGGAATAACCATAATTAGATGCAAGTTCTTGAATACCTCCTTTCTTTTACACCAGAGATATTTTTCTTGTTTTTCAATACGTTGCCATCTAAAACTACAACAGATTATTTACAGACATGGACACAGTTCTTTTCTGTTGCTCTTGCCTTGTGAAAGCAGAATTTGGTTGATGTGACAACATGCTAGTTTTGAGCCAAGAGTCCAGAGTGTTCTTTCTTTGTCTTCCTCACTCTTTCTCCCTATCTCCTCTCAACAAGCTACCCTGATATAAAACAAGAAACCATGAGCAGCAAGGACAACTTGTTCCAGGTAAAGCCATCTCAGAAGCTGAGGACACAGTGGGCCCACAGCTGATCAGGCACACATATAAATCCATCCTCAAAAGCATTCTCAAAACTACCTGGATGAACACAGGTGAACTGTGAGATCTGTTCAAGGCAAGTGAGTTTAAGCCGCTCAGGTCTGAGTTTGTTACATTTGTGACATTTGTCAACAGATCCAATATCAAACCCAGAAATCCACTTCCTGATTCTCTTTTTATGTTTTAATTACTTGACCATTTTCCTAGAGCTCTGTCAGAGGGTGAAAGGATGTGAAGATAGGAATGCCTCAGTAGTCAGTTTTGTTACTGTATCTATTAAAATAAATAGAATATAGGCAATTAAAATAAGTGTAAGATTACATGAAAATGTCCAGTATTTCACCTTGCCAGAGAGAGCTGAAACCTAGCAACACAGGAAACACTTGAGAGTTTTCTCACACTGTTCTCAGTTATTTTCTTTTTAAATGTTCATTCCAGACGCTGAACCAAGGGTTTCATACCTGTAAGGCATGTGCTCTACAACTGAATCACACTTTCAGGCTCTACCCTTAGCTTTTTTTTAAAAAAAAAAAAAAAAACAAGTATCTCTGCCTTCATTTAATCTAAATTAAAAAGAAAATAAGTCACTAGTATATTACTGTGACAATCATAAGTCATTACAAGAGCAAAATTCAGACCCCTGTTTCCTATGCCACTGGAATAATTGTCATCTGAGTTCCACTCAGGCACATTCATCCTGGTGACTGCCTCTGGTACACGGTGAAAAGTTAGTGTACATGACCACATATCTGCTAGAAAATCATTTTACTCCTAGGTTTCTCTTTCATTGACAGTTTCATTTTTCCCGAGTGCAAATAAATCATTATTTCTGGTATTGTCCTATAACTCTTTTGAAGTAGACCATGAGCTTTAGGGGAGGAGGGACACACCCAGCCATGCTCATGACCGACTTCTGGCTCTGTGCTGAGGGATCTCTCCCATTGGTGCTTGAGTGACCATATGAGGTGCCTGGAATTGAACTGAGGTTGGCCACATGCAGCAAGTGCATTGCCTGTAAAACTACTTGAACTTATACTGTTTCTTCATCCCGAACCATGATTAAAAAAAAATTGGAGGAAGGCTCTGGGGCAACAGCTAGCAGTTGGCCCTGTGTTCAGGGGACCATATGTGGTGCTAGGAATCAAGTTGGGGTCAGGTGCAGGCAAGACAGGAGGCCTTAGCCTCTATACTATCTCTCTGGCCCAGAAGTGGAACATCAACTCTTATTTCATGTTTTGTCAGTGAAAAATCCTTAGGACACCAATAAATAAATTTGCTCATAAGAAATCATTAAGCCACTGAAGGAACTGCTTTGATACACAGGTCTGAGGCAAACCCAGGATAAGTCCATGAAACTCATGTCTTCAACTACTTCCTGTCTTCAGCCATAGTATTCCCTACACTGTGAAACCACTTCTTTGCTTTTCTGGAAAGAGACTTCCAGTTTCACACTGTTGGTGTTAAGCCTCTTTTGCCTACACTCTGATCTCTGACCATTCCATTGATCTCTTTGCGCTAAGGAAAGACGCTATTTCATGAGGAGCTCACAAACTGTGTTACACAGCTACAGAGACCATGCCAGAAATTTTGGGACCCCTCTTCTCGTACCGAGACTTGACTGAGAAGATTCAGCCTCTGAGTCACTCCCTCCACCTCCGCCACTTCCTCCTGCTGGGAGTTGCTCACAACTTTGGCCGTCAGAATCTTCTTCAGGTCTCTCTGTTGCAATGGTTCTCTGAATGTTTTGGTACCTTTTCATGAACAAAGGAAAGACAGAAGTTAATATGTCTGCCAGGGCCTTGGGGGGTTGGTAAGAACCGCAGAAAATAAAAAATAACTACTATAATGATTGTCAATAATCAATTTGTTGTGCAACAACAGACTACTGGAGTAGGGCTTAGACATACACTGAGTTGCAGCCTCATTTTCCTTTTCAAAATGCAGTGAGCATAGAAGAGGACTAACATGAGTAAATGTTATTTTATTTCATAGTAAAAATATCAGCAATGACACAACCTATCTCACATGTCCTCAGTTAGACTTTGGTTATCTCGCACCTAAGTCAACAGTCTCAAATATCAGGAATAAGATTCTATCCCAATCTTGGCTAAAGTGCAGGGCCATTTACAGACACAGCACACAGAACACAGGAGTAAGGTCCAGAGTCTTACTCTGCTTCACCAAACAAAAAGTGGTCAATTTTATCTCATAAAGAACTATTCCTCTCAGTGACTTCCTTCTATTTGTGTACATTAGGTTAAATATTTACATTAAATAGCTAACAGAAATTTATAAGAAAGTTCATTATAACATCTAATATGTAAATGAAAACACACTCATACATGAACACAAAAACACACACAACACTGAACAAAAAAAAAAGCCTTCAAAAACCAAACCAAATCAAACAAAAGTAAAACAAAAAATACCAAAAGTAGATAATTCACATGAGAGGAATTATGGTAAAAAAAACAACATAAAACACTGTTTGGGGAATATAACCCTAAAGAAACACTCACTATAAAGCAATCTTAATATTTAATGGGCCTTGGGCCTATCAAAATAGTGATTGGAAAAAAAGTAAACATGTAGCGATATGGAAAATTAAATTAACTTCATTACCTCAACTCAATTTATACTATAAAACCACTTAACTAACAAAACCATTTAACTAAGTTCAATTTAAAAAAAAAACCTTGGAGTGGTAGGATTAGAGATATTTTCCACTTGAAGCATCCATTTATCTTATTATTTTATCTAAATAACTATAAACTCAAACTATGGTTGAGTATTTCATTCATTCATTCATCATCCTGTTATTCGTCGATTGCCTCGAGCAGGCCCCAGTAACGTCTCTTTCATCCTAGCCCTGAGATTATATTCAAGGCTCTTTAGGAGAATGAGACCCATCATTGTTACTGGTATTTGGCATATTTGGTGCACCACGGGGAGTTTGCCAGACTCTGCACTGTGGGCAGGCTACATTCGATAGCCTGCAAGTTTGTCCAGAGTAGGAATGAGATAATAAGATATCATAAAAAGATGTCCTGATAAGATGTCCGAGAGCTGGATTTTATAGTCTCTGAGTCTTGGCCGTTGATGGGATTACACGGCGCCAGGGGGCCAGGTGGTGGGTGTGACCCCCGCCTACTGGAATTTGGAGGATCTGGGTGGAGGATGCTCGACTCCAATTCGAGTAGGCTTGGAGATCTCGGCCCCGGAACCCGCGTGGCTTTGTCCCTCTGCAAGTACCTTCATGTGTGCGGAGAGTGGTCTCAGCATGGTGGTGGCTGGTCCTGGAGGTCTTCGGCTGCTGGAGCCCTGGTCGGGGCGGGGAGGAAAGCTCAACCCGCTCCCCTCCAAGGGACCCCAGCGAGGAACAGCCAGGCACTAATTGTGATGGTTGAGTATTTAAAGTAAAAATACTTGCTTTCCATGCATGGGGATTGGGTTAAATCTCCAGCACCACAATAAATAGAAAGTCCATGTTCATATTTTTTGTATAGCAATGAATATTTGCAGAACTAGTGTTAGTTGTTGGAGTGATAGCACAGCGGTAGGGCGTTTGCCTTGCATGCAGCCAACATGACCAACCCAAGTCCGATTCCTCCGCCCCTCTCAAAGAGCCCGGCAAGCTGCCGAGAGTATCTCGCCCGCACGGCAGAGCCTGGCAAGCTCCCGTAACATATTCGATATGCCAAACACAGTAACAACAAAGTCTCCAGTGGAGACGTTACTGGGCCCACTCGAGCAAATCGACCAACAACGGGAGGGCCTTTACCTTTTTTTTTTAGTGTTAGTTAATTAAGAATATAATGAAAGTGTAAAAATCAACTCAAGAATTAGTCCTGTTAAACTTCTGAAACCATACTAGGCACTAGGAGCGAGATACTGAATAAAGCAAGAAGGAAAAAGAAGCAGTTACAGAGGCAGGTACAGTCAATCAAGTGCTCCTTTCTTGCTCTATCAGTACATAGCCAGGATATAGAAAAAAAACCAAATGTCCAACTACTGAAGAATGGATCAAGAAGTTGTGGTATACATACACAATGGTGTAAGAAAGAAAACAATGTGTCTGCTGTAACATGGATGGAATTGGAAGGTAGCATGCTAGGTGAAATAAATCAGAGGTAACAAATGCTCAAAGGCAACAAAACTGAGAATTGGTCTTCAGTAGGATGCTTACCACAGAGGGGACTTGGGGTGGAGGATGTGGTGCTGGAGTGTCTTGTGCATGAAACCTACCATTAACAGTTTTATAGACCATGGTGCCTATAATAATTATTTTTAACATTTAAATAATTTTAAAAAAATAAGTCAGAGGAAGGAGGGCAATAATCAAATTATCTCACTCATCTGTGGAACAGAATAAAGATAAGAGGCAGCAAGTACTTAACATAACCAAACCCCTGACATTGGAATACAGAACCATTACTACAGCATGGCAGGGTGGGATGGGATGAAAAATGCAGGAATAGTTGTGGGCACAGGGATGGTGGTGGGGTCTAGTGATTTTTATATAAATACCATAAATTAAAAAACTATTGTAACTCCCTTTTTTTTGCCTCAGGCAACCACAAGCGAACATCTGAACTGGCAAAACAGTGCAGAGAAGCCATCAAGGATGACCTCAAAAACAGGAGAGCAGCAGTACTGGTAGATGCAGCAGAAGCTGGGAAAAACATTCGTAATGCCCGCCTGTCCTTCACCAACTACAAAACCAAGATGACTGCCCTCCGACATCATGATGGATCTATCACATCTTCCAGAAGGGCAATGGAGAAGATTATTCATGACTTCTACTCAGATCTCTTTAATAGCCACATCCACTTGCCCACATACCACATACCACATGATGGATATGTCGTTCCCAATGTTCTCCCTTCCGAAATCCAACATGCCATCTTGTCGGTAAAAAAACAAAGAGCACCTGGCCCAGACAAGATCAGACCTGAACACCTGAAGAACTTACCATCAGTACTCATCAATACATTGGCTCGACTCTTCACACGCTACCTGTCTGAATGCAAGGTTCCATCCCAATGGAAAACCAGCAGGACTGTACTACTGTACAAGAAAGGAGACATCCACGACATTGGCAACTATCGCCCAATCTGCCTATTGTCTGTCATCTACAAACTATTCACTCGAGTCATCCTGAATAGGATTAGCAGAACACTAGATGAAGGACAACCATGTGAACAAGCTGGATTCCGAAAAGGATTCAGTACCATCGACCATATCCACACAATAACCAAGCTCATTGAGGTATCTCAGGAGTTCAAGATGCCGCTCTGTCTAACGTTCATTGATTTAAAGAAGGCCTTTGATTCTGTTGAGACAGAAGCGGTCATGGAAGCCCTAGCCAATCAGGGCGTACAAACTCAATACATCAGGATCCTTCGTGAGCTCTATTGCGGATTCACTACCAAAATCTCACCATTCTACAAAGAAGTAATCATCCATATCAAGAGAGGGGTTTGGCAGGGTGATACCATTTCACCAAAACTCTTCAGTGCCACCCTCGAGAACATCATGCGACGACTGGAATGGGAAAACATGGGAGTGAAGATAGATGGTCGGCAACTACACCACCTCCGCTTTGCTGATGACATCGTTCTAATAACACCAAACATCAGCCAAGCGGCACAAATGCTGAACGACTTTGACCGTGAATGTGGAAAGGTCGGACTACAGCTGAATCTTAAGAAGACAATGTTTATGAGAAACAGCCTTGTTCCTGATGCTCCATTCGCTCTCAACGGAACCATCATCTCCAAATGCAACAGTTATATATACCTAGGTCGAGAAATCAACATGATGAATGACCTGGCACCTGAGTTGCGCAGGAGGAAGAGAGCGGCTTGGAATGCCTTCAAGAGCATTGAAGAAATAACTAAAAGGACAAAGAACCTCCAGCTACGAGCACATCTCTTTGATTCCACTATTCTTCCTGCATTAACATATGCCTCAGAGACCTGGACCCTACGAAAACAGGATGAGAACGCTATTCGGATCTCTCAAAGAGGAATCGAAAAAACTATGCTTGGAATATCACGATTCACTCAAATGAGAGATAGAATCTGGAGTTCTGATCTTCGTCAACGCTCAAGAATCAGGGACGCTGTCGGTAAAGAAACAAAGAGCACCTGGCCCAGACAAGATCAGACCTGAACACCTGAAGAACTTACCATCAGTACTCATCAATACACTGGCTCGGCTCTTCACACACTACCTGTCTGAATGCAAGGTTCTGTCCCAATGTCTTGCACACAGCCAGCTCGGTCAAACTGGGTTCGATTCCTCCACCCCTCTCAGAGAACCCAGCAAGCTACTGAGAGTATCTCGCCCACACAGCAAAGCCTGGCAAGCTACCCGTGATGTATTCAATATTCCAAACACAGTAACAAGAAGTCTCAAAATGGAGACATTACTGGGCCCGCTTGCTCGAGCAAATCAATGAACAATGGAAGGACAGTGATGGTGACTTTGGTTCAGTCCCCAGCACTGCATATGGTATAAACACAGTTGATTTGACACTGGAATACAGAACCCCTCAATCCCTCTAGGAATGAGCCCTGAGCACCAATATGTATGCCCCCCAAATAAAGATAAATTTAAAAACAAGTAAAATATAAGCCCTAGAGACTATTTTTGACAATAAATCTCAACACTGTCTACAGAAAACAAACTTGGGCTGAGTCCTCAAAATTTTTGGTATAGGAGACTTCTTATAATCACCGTAACTCTTTCATGTATTTTTGGTACATTCATGTCTAATATGGGCTAGAGCAATAGCACAGCAGGTAGGGCGTTTGCCTTGCACGCAGCCAACATAGCCGACCCGAGTTCGATTCCTCCACCCCTCTCGGAGAGCCCGGCAAGCAACCAAGAGTATCTTGCCCGCACTGCAGAGCCTGGCAAGCTACCCGTGACCTACTCAATATGCCAAACACAGTAACAAGTCTCACGAAGGAGACGTTACTGGGCCCACTCTTAAAAAGTAATCAATTAAATGTTAATGAATATTTTTTTCAGGGGAGGGGTCCCAAGAATGTTAGGTGGCTTGGGAGCTCACCTGTGTTCCTGGCCAACTGGGCTTGCATTCAATGGAAGGGTCTACAATGCTGTGCTGCGCAAGCACTTGGGGAGGTGCTGAGAACTACCTAGCACACACAGAGTAGTATGGACTGCATCCATTTTATTTGGGGGATTCATATGATACTGGGAATTAAATCTGGGTCAGAAAAGTGCCTGCCAGAGGGAGGGTAGAGGATGGGAGAGAAACTGGGCACATTGTTGTAGGGTAGTGGTTATTGGTTAAGGGATTGGTGTAGGAATAACACATGCCTGAAATGCAATCAAAAACATCTTTATAGCCTTGTAATTCAGTGATTTAATTAAAAAAAACAAAACAAAATTTGGTCGGATGCATGGCAGTCATGTGCCTTAACAATGTATTATCTTCTAGTTCCTCAAAGAAATTTTTTATTATCAATAGGTATGTCCTTTGAATACAGTGATTTATTCTTTGTAGTCTCTTTCAAACTTTCTTACTATTTCTGTTTAGTAAGATAGCACCTGGATACAAATAAATTTGAGTCTACTGTTTGGTTTCTAAGATTTATTCTAAATCTTAGAAATCTAAATCTAAATTCTAAATTTCTAGGGCAATTCTCAGATCATCTTCAAGTCATCATCCTGACCCTAAAGAAGCAAATGTCAGATACAACACACACATCAACTTACAACAGGATAAAGATGCAATTTAGGTGTTGTTTGCAGGTAAAACACATTAAGACTTATGTATAAACTGTCAGAAGAATTATAAAAAATTGCTTTTAAATGTCTTTTTAAGATAAAGTTTTGAAAGAAATAACATACCTTAGATTCCATTATATCTAAGTATATAACAATTATCAGACCAGGGTAGATGTGAATAAAGTGATTTATAAAGCAGCTTTTTCTCCAGGTAGCTTTCAGTATTTTGTGGAACATATTCTTTGGATATTTTCAAATTCATGAGTTCTGCACACTTTTTAGTATCTTATGATAAAAGTAGACTAATTGGGACGAAAAACATACACTTATATATAATTCTGCATATAATTTTGGAAAGTTCAGTGAATACCTGTGTGGGATAGTTTGTGAATTCTTTTTAAGACTTCTTTTTAATGACTTTTTGAACCTGAATCACCAAAAACTAAAAAGATTCTCTGTCTTCAAATGACACTTAGCTTGTCTCCTGCTATGAAATTCTAAATCTGGATTTCCAAGTACCTCCTGTGAGTGGATGTCTTAAGATCTTACTCTCCATTCCTCACATCACCTGAGCAGAAAAGTGTAACGGGGTTTTGGGGCTATTGCCCCCCTTTCTTGGTGGATCACAGAGCTCATTACATGCTGATCACCAACCGCCTATTGAGCTGCTCCATCTGCTGGGTGGACCCAGACCTCCGCATCCCATCAGGGGTGGCTGCTGCTGTCGGACGTTGCCAGGTGGTCGTGCGGTTCACGTGGTCCACATAGAAGACCCGGCCGTGACTGTCGATGCGAGCTTCCCAGTCTAGTATGTGATAAAAATGCAAAAAGGAAAATCAAGAGAAAATACTGAGCCACATGAAACAGATAAGCACTTCCATGGAGAACTCACCATTGGCTGTCTGCTCCTGGGTAGACTGCCCACAGAACCCAAGACACCTTCTTTGGTTTGTTTGGTTAGTTGGTTTGAGGGCCATGCTTGTCAGTACTCATGGATTACTCCTGGCTCAGGGATCACTTCTGGTGGTAGTCAGGGGCACGTGTGGTACTGGGGATCATACAGGGGGCTTGCTACATGCAAGGGAAGCACTATAGCTCCTGTACTATCTCTCCAGCCTCCTGTGTCTTAGAAATATTCACATAGAATCATCATTCCAGAAAGGAGCCTACTGCACTCATATTTTCTGCTGGGCTACTTGAACGTGGTTTCTCAAGTATGGCCTATGTTTTAATTCTATTTTCTAGACCCTGTAGAGGTTAGAGCACTGGTCTTGCAAAATTCTACTTTCTAAAGAAAAAGGCTATGGCTAACAGGTCTTTCTTAAAAAGTTTCCATCCTGTAAATCTTGTTGGTTACTCAAACGACAGCTAGAAGACTGGAAAGTCCTTCATTTAGAGCTGACAGATGATACTTTAGATACCTTTCTTTGCTAAATCTGAGAGAAGGTAACAAGTCAGGGGAGAGAATTGTACTCAAATTAGCTCAACCACTACAGTTTTAACATACTGTACCCAACACTTCAGATGACCTCTAATACCAAGCAACATTGATTGACCGCTATTCCTCATAAGGATAAATTAAAGGATTTGATACCTAGGTTTCAAACCCTTCTGATAAGCTCTATATTCACCAACCCACCTATGGTTGATAAATATCTCTTGATCAAAACCCAACCTAACCCAAGAGAACTGTTAATTAATATCAAATTTTTAAATACCTTTGCTGAGAAATAATCATTTAAGAGAGTAGGCAAAGCCCAAAGTACAAATAAGTTCCTTTACTTGTCAAATAAAAAACCTAAACACATAAATGTTTTTCTACATCATACATGGCCTGGGGTAGGTTGGATGAAAGAAACACCCTCAAAACTGAAAGAGCTGTAAATAATGTATACATTTCTGAGCTTATCATAGAAGAGCAATGTTTGGTGCACAGAAATGGTCAAAGCTTTGAGATTTTGCATGTAAAAATATGGAAATAACAGTCATGATAAAATTAAGCCAAAAAATTAAAGAATAAAAAGCAAAAATGATTGCAAAGAAAGGAAAACCATTCAGCTTTTTAAAGAAGAAAAACCATAGCTTTTGGGAGTATATTAGGTATTACTTTCTCAGAAAAATTATCATTCAGATAATGACATGGCAACTCAATTTATTTTAAATCAAAAACTCAATATATTTACTTTTACATAGTAGTTTTATATGTGCATAGCCTATGAACATTATGATTTATGCCTGGCATTTCCTAAAATGCCTAAAACTAATGCCTAATGAAAATTAGCATAGTAGGGGAAAAATTTAACTTATAAGACAAATTAAAGTAAAAAGTTAGCTTACAAAAACATGTTCCAGGATGTTTTATTAAAAACTGACTTCTACTATATAGTCTATATATAAACTGTTTGTTGAAAATTTTAAAATTGCATATATACACAAATATTTGATCCCAATGTGGTAATTAATAATAAAAATTATTAAAATTTCAGTGATTCCAAATAAGTATAAACTGAACAGCTTCCTCCCTAAATCTAGCAAGACTATGATCAAAGGATGAATAATGATAATGTTATCTGATTCTACTGAACAAATTTCTTTTAGTATTAACTTGAACTAGGAACTATGCTGCCAGGTTCTTATGATATAATAGTAATGTAAGTCCCTGATTCCGGATACCCCATAGTAGAGTAAAAATTCCTTTAAGATAAAGCTCCTATCCATAAATTCTCTTAAGGAAAAGAACTAGAGATCTAGATTCTAATGAAAATCTAGAGAATGGTACAATAACAATATATAATTTATCTGAACAAGTGTTACATCAAATCACTCATGGAGAAGAATGCCACAGAGACAGATCAGTCCTTTTGTATTAAATGCCTGGAATGTATAGTGATAATTATATATTCTAAAACTATTCATAAAATAGTATCTACATTTAACTAAAGATTAGCGAGTATTTTCTGGGTTGCTTTGCAAAGCACAGACTAATATTTACTTCAAAGAAACACTTTCTAGACAGTACTTCTGGCCTCAGCATGCCTAAGGGGACACAACACTGTGGTGCCTTCCTAGATTCCTGAAAATAATATTTTTATGATCCTTGGAGAAGGTTAAAGTGATGATTCAGTTGTGTCATTTACTGCTGAATGGACCTATCAAATATGCATAAGTTGTATATTCTCCATGAAGTCTGAAGACAATGTAATGCCCAATAATGCGCCAGCTTTAGTTTCTATATTAACAAAATCTTATTAAATTGTACCTTTTCACACTTTTTTTTGGCTTTCATCCACTTCTGGCTGTGCTCAGTTGTAGGATAACACTGTTTTGTCCTTCCTGCATAGCCTCAGGTAGTTTAGGTTTATTGGGTTGCCCCCATCACAATGCTCCCATTCCTCTGTGTTTATTTGTATCTTCTTTGTGTTCTGTTGACTTGTTAATACTGATTTTCTCTTCTCCCTAAGTCCTTTACATAGTTTATTCAGAGCAATGTCCTTTTAGTATGGACACAAGAAGACAGTACATGCTATGCTTTTGTAACGTGACTCTCAGTGGTATTTTCCTCCTGGGCATCTGTTCTCTCACCTAAGCCTCAGCTGCCTTTACTTCCTAGCGCCCCCAAAAGCAGGGTCCTGAAGAGGGACTGGATGGAACCAGGGCAAGTGGTAAGTGATGTGCTACCCTGGCATCGAGATGGGACTGGCCAAAGTGCCATAATGCTTAACTGTTGGAGTACACGGAGCTTAGGTTTATCAGGTTGCACCCATCACAGTGCTCCCGAGTCACTCCCATTACTTTGTCTGCCTGTAACCACTTCTATGCTCTCTTCCCCAACCAATTTGTAAGGTCTCATCCTTCTTAGACACTGAAGCTGTACCGTAAGTTAATATTGCCTTTCTCCTCTCCTTATGTCTTTTGAGCAGTTTACCTTAATGCAATGTCCTTTTGTATAGATACAGGAAGACAATTAATTAAAATTATGCTTTATAACTTAGGATTTAATTGGCTTTGAATATTATTCACTCCTGGGCATCTGCCTTCTCAACTTAAGCCTCAGTTGCCCTCACTTCCTAGCACTCCAAGGGCAGGGTCCCGATGTGGGACTGGATGGAACCAGGGCAAGCCGGTAAGTTATGTGCTACCCTGGCATCGCGATGGGCCAGGCCAAGGTGCCACGATTCTTAACTATAAGTTAAGAGGTTGATCATAGGCAAATGCTGTAATGATCCAAAGGTAACGACAAGACTAGGATCCTGCTAGGGGTGGGAAAGACTATCTGGCCTGAGCACCGTAGTCTGAGATCGAGATGGTCCTAGGAGAGCAATTCTATAAGCTCAAAGTATTTCTTACTGTGTCCATACAAAATGATTAATATTATGTATGCTTATATGTTGGTTGGACAAGGAGAGGAGAAACACGTCCTAGAAGCAGTTTTCCTGTGTGTCCTGACTAGCTTGGATGAGACTGCTTTCTCCCCTTCAAACTGCCTTCAGTAAATGATTTCAGTATATTGAGACAGTTTCCCTTTTCTCTCAGAAACCTAGCTGGTCTTAGATATGCAGATCTCAGGTGCTAGCCAGGACTGATCTTTGGGATGTAGATTCCCAGCTCTAGCCTGGCTGGTCTTTGGGATGCAAATCAAGGTGCTTGCAGCTTGTGAAAGTGCTTGTGAAAGGTTTCAGTTTGGCTTTGTATCTTGGAGGCCAGTATTACTGGCCTATGGATGTAAGGGAACAATGTGGATGTAAAGAAACAATTCTGTAACTCCTTTTGATGACATCACTGTATTGCGCCCTTTAAAGGTACTATGATCTATATAAGGGAGATTTCTGGGCTCTCTGGGGGACACGTGCATCAGAGAACCTGGGAAGATGGGTCTGAGGACAGAAGCTGAGAGAACAAAGGTGCACGTGCTTGAGAGATCCTGGGGCCTCCATGACATACATCCTTCCATGTAATAAACTGCTGCTAAGACCAATCAGCCTGGCCCTCGTTTCCTTCCCTCTCCTGACCATCGCCATCGACCTCCCTGGAGTGGGGAAACGGCCTGACCGCCGGCCGTTTTATTTTTTGTGTGTTTACACACTTAACTACAAATTAAGAGCTTGGTCATGGACAAATGCTGTCATGGTCCAAAAAGTAATAACTAGACGTGGACCCTGATAGGGTTAGGAATGATTAATATGGTCTGAGTTCTGTAGTCTGAGTCTGTGGCAAGATGTTCCCAGGAGAGGTGCCCTACAAGCCTATCAGTGTCTCTCTTACTGTGTCCATACAAAAATAACTAGTATTGGTGTATGGTGCCACCAGCAGGTCATTCTGTAGCTGTGAGGTGAGTGCATCAGCAGCCTGATGGTGCCTTCAAACTTCCAGATACCCCAAAATTGCTGCTGTGCCTTTGGCCAGACCCCAAAAACTTGGGGCAAAGTTTACCAGAAAAGTAAACAGCCAAAAGTTAGGTATGTGGGCGACAAACCCACAAACCACCTCTGGCTCAGCTATATAATTGGAGGCAAGGCCTCTTTGGTTCCTGATCAGACTGCTTAACAGCCATGATCCCAGAGACTCAGAAACATGTCTCAAAACCCAATGGCTTTTGACAGAAATTAGTCCAGTCCCTGCAGTAGGTTACCAGCGCTGGGACACCCCAGGTGGGAATAGGTTTCGTGCCTTGGCCAGTTCCCCCTGGTGGCCTGGTGACTGTCATCCTCCAGAGACCACTGGACAGTCAGGTTTCAGTCCAGTGACGAGACATTTGGGGACTCACGGGATGGGGTTGGAGCTGGCTCTTTCCTCCCCGTCCAAATG